GCAGACCTACACCCATGTAAGTCCAGGCACAGAGTGGTGGTCACGCTTCTTGCCCGAGACCATGCCCACCTCCCTCCCCCCCCTCCCTCCTCCGCTCCCCACATAGAAAAAGGTTTGGACCCCACACATAAGGTGAGGTAGGGCAGGCTGGTCAGGAGCTCACTTGAAGTAGCGATTAGGCTTGTAATGCAGTTTGCCGTGCGCCACCAGCTCCTGCATGCTGGGGAAGCTCTCGGTGCAGCTGAGGGCTGAGCAGAGGAAGAGCTTGCCTGGCAGGGACAAAGGGCAGAGTGGAAGAGTGGGGTGGCCAAGGCTGGCCCACGGGGGCAAGGCTTGCTTCCCACTCTAACCTGCTTCCCCACCATCTGCCTTGGTCCTACCTTCTAGGGACTGTGTGGGCGGGCAGTGGGTACGAAGATGCTGTGCCAGGTCGCGAACACTGGGAAAATTGAGGCAGCAGCCAGGGCTAGAGCAGGGTATTTGTTTCCCTGCAGGATACAGAGTGAGGGTCACAGATCCCTTCCTCATGAATGCTGCAGGCCGCTGGCCCCCAGACTATGCAAGTTCCCCACAAGAATGAGCTGCCAAAGGGTACTGGGCTGGATTGATCTGGTTCCTCATTGAAGCCAAAGACCGGCATACACTTGGTGCTCAGTAAATGGTGAAAGAAATCCCTGTAGATGTCCCCTAGTTTGGCCATATACCGCACTCCCCATTTCCTGATGTGGGACCTGTGTTGTGACACCCCCCCCCCCAGTAGGCCCCATCACAGGTCACCTGGTGGTGGGCGTCGCCTGGGAGGCCGCAGGTCCTCATTGGTCCCCGAAACAGGGCTGGGTCCAGGGCCTGTCTGGCAGCTGTCTGGGGCTGGGGAGGCACCCTGCTGTGTACCTCCAAACCCTCCACGTTCCCAAACTGGGGGTGTGGCTGTCCCATTAGGGTCTGGCTCCTCCTCCATGGAGGAAGAAGTGGTTGCCTCAGCCATAACTGGGGACACCACCTCCTGGTCGGTCGCACTGGAGTTGGGCTCTGCAGTGGCTAACAAGTCTGGGCTGGGCACGGACGGTTCCTCCTCCTGGTAGAAGAGAACTAGTCTGTACTCAGGTTTCTCTGGGCCAGCAGGGAAGCTCCTCCCACCCTGAAAGGACCACTAGGCTTAACATTCCTGAATTCCAGACCCCGCAAAACCATCCACTCGCCCCATTCTAGGACATCATCAGCCAGAGAGGGTAAGGAGGCAAGAGTGGACTGAGCTCCAGCCTCTGTCGGGAGCTACACTTAAGAGAACCATCTCCACGTCTCCAGCTCCGACAGGTGGGAGGCGCCCTAAGAGGTCGATGGCAGATTAGAGGGAATGAGCGGAGGCAAAGCTATGAAGTCGGGGCTCTGGACAGGACGCGGCTAGGAAGATGCTGGAGTTTCCAGAAGTGAACTGTGCATGACGGGGACATCCTGGCCAGGTTACAGCTGTGTGGCTGAACTTCGAGGCGCTCGGGAGGAGCCCGAGCCTGATGGGCGTGGCCTACCCGAGGCCAGGCCCGGAAGTAGGGGCAGGGGGCTTGCCTAGCCACAGCCAGCGGCGAGCGGGTGCCCGGATGTGAGGGCGGGGTCGGTCGGAGGGTGTGTATGCGACGGGATCGCTCCCAGCCAGTCCTCGCTGCGGTACCGCGCCCGCTCCCCCGGCGCTGCGCTCACCATCCTCGACTGCTCGATCTCTGGTTCATGCGGCTCCGGCGGCTCCAACTCAGGAGGCGGCTACTTTCTCGGCAATGCGGGTTCGCATTCACGTCGGCGCCATTTTCCGCCTCTCAGCTCTCGCGAGAGAAGGGCGGAGTCTGCTCGGTGCTGTCCGCCAGTGGGCGGGGCCTGAGGTTCGAGTTCTAGACCGTCGCGTGGACTAGTGCTGGCCGATTTATGAGCCAAAGGCTGGGGCAAAGTACAGAGATCCGGCGTGAGGAAGCTCTCTGATCGTTTGCAAAATGAGCAACTTCATGCCCTTTTGGCCTGTTCCATCGTCAGCCCTCCAAAGGCGATAAACAACAGTTTTTCTTTTAATTGGTCCTTCTTGGAGAAAATTGGCAACAGTAATCAAGTTTTTCAGTGCACCTAGTTCAATAATTGAAGTGCCTTTTGTAATAGCCAAGTGCAGGAAGGAAGCCGATTTTTGGTCTTTAGGCTTAATAAAGGGGTGAAACCTCAGGGTGGCGAGGTGTGGTTCCTGGAGTAAGGATGCGGAGCCCAGTGTGCACTGGTGTGGAGTGGGTTTTGTCCATCTTTCTTTATGCTAGGTACCCATCTAGGCGTTGGGGATCCAGGTGTGAATGGGACAGACAAGAATCCCTGCTCCAGAACTCAAACCTTAAAATGGGGAAGTAGTCAAATGGAGAAACTGATCTTGGGTTCTATTCAGCTCAAAGAAGAAAACAAATAAAACAGAAGGTTGTCACAATGATGAGGTGGTGACTTCTGAGTTGTCACCTGATGGTCAAGAAGGAGTGAATGGAAGGTCAAGTAAGTACTGTACTCAGGGAAGCTGGTACAAATGTCCTGTGATGGGGAGGGATAAGCTTGTTTATCAAGAAATAGGATCCCTTTGCACTGCAGGAGCAGAATGAGGGCAGCATATAGGGGTCAGAAAGTGAATGTGGTGCAGGATGGGGCTTGCAGGCCTTCGATTATGGTTTTTAGTAAAATCACTGATGAATTTGTAGCAGAAGGAGGTACAACATTTGATCCCTGATGATCATTTGGAAGATGAGTTTTTAGGCCAGAGAGTAAAATAGACCCTTAATTGCAAATCTCTACAACACATTCAATCCGAGAAGTGTTGAGTCTCAGGCAAGTGTGGACTTCATATGCAGTGTATTTCTGTATATGTAAAACAGGATGTGCTTCTGTGCTTTTATACGCAGGGAAGATATAATAGGAGGTATTTGAAAATGGGAGGAGCCAGGTATGACACATCTATAATCCCAGACACTCGGGAGAGGACCAGAAATAGTCAAAGAATTGTTAAATGCTTTTGTAGCCAAGTTCGAAGCCAGCCTGAGCAACTTGGCAGACTCTGTCTTAAAATAAAAAATAAGAATGGTTGGGAATGTAGCTCAGTGGCCGAGCATCCCTGGGTTCAATTCATAGTACCTGAAAACAAACAAATGAAACAAACAAACAAACAAACAAACAAAAAACGGGGAAGGAGCATGTGCTTAGTATATTCCAGGCCTGGTTCAATCCTCAGCACCAGCAAACAAACAAAAGCAACAAACAGGGCTGGGGTGTTGCTCAGTGGAAGAGTGCTTGCTTAGCATGCTCAAGGCCTTGGGTTTGATCCTCAGCACTGAAAACAACAACAAAAACCCAAAAAAAATTCTGAGATGGGGAGTAGGAATTTTTAAGGGATTGACTTTTCACACTTTGATGCTATTTTAATAAAATTTTTCTTTTAATTACCATTCAGATAAAAATTCATTAAGTTTTAGGAAAACAAAAAGTCATTTTGGTGCCAGGTGGAGAGGGATGTTGCACTTGCACTCTGGGGAGGGTGATATAATCTGAGGAAGGATGAGGGGAGGCCTCAGAAGGGACTGGGCCCCAAGGAACTGAGAGGAGGGACCCAATTTAAGAAATTTTGTGAGAGTCCACAGGATGTGGCATTGAGCAGCCGGTGTGGCCAAGGTGATTGAGGTTTGCAGCCTGAAGATTCTTGTAACCTAGATATGAGATGCTGTCTGTTAAAATATACCACACTCACCCGCTTCTCCATCACTAATGTCCTGCCCAACCCTTATCCATCCATTCTGCCCAGAAGGCCTTATTTCCTGAAAATGGGGTACCCTCAATGGCAGTGGGACCATAGAGCTGAACTTCAAAGTGCCAGAAGGGAGGGCAGCCTACATGATAAGTTTGAGGGCAGAGAAGAGAGATAAAGCCCTGATTCTTCTTTTGCGCTCAGGAAATGCCCAACCCAAGATGTTGATGAGTGACACAGTTCTCTTCCAGCCTGTCCTCACACCAAGGTCTTATAGACAGGCGAGCACATAGTGGTGGTTGTGCTGGAATAAAGAATCTCAGAGATGGAGTGGGCCAGAGACATTCAAGGGATTATTAAATGCTTTTGCAGAATGATTGACCAATAATAGGGCTGTTGAGACCTGTTTGCAGCCTTGTGATCTTTTTTTTCCCAGCCCAGCTTGGCTTCCCAAGGTGAATGCAGAAGAGAGAAGGTAGGGATCTTCTCTGTTGGACATTCTTTCTTGGATGTCTCATCTTTTATTCTCCAGTGGTTCAGGTGTCCACTGCCTGGAATGTCCTTGTCATGGCATTGAACAGTGTCATGCTTGTAGCCAGGATCTGTTGAGACCAACCCTCTTCAGCCTTCAGGGCTCTTCCAGCAATGCCATCTGTGTCTCCTCTGTACTGAATCCATCAGTCTGTCCATGTTCCTCCCAGACTGGCTGCTCCTTGAGGGGCTGAGGACAGAGGGGGTGTCCAGAATGGAAAGCCTGGATCTTTAGGCTCACACAGTAGCAGGTCTCCCTGCCAGTTACAGCTGCCCCAACAGGGAGCCCTGGAATACTAAGAATCCATGAGAATGTCAGCACCCTCAAATGTCAGAACTGGTCCTGACCCCAGGTGAATAAAGACTAAGAGAGCACATATATAGGATGGTGGGGCAGGGGCCAGGGGTGACCCAGGGTAGCTTGCAGGGAACCATGTGGAACCTGCCTCCTGCCTGAGGGTTTACGGAGGTTCCAGATGAGTTTGAGGGCTGCAGATTTAGAGGTTGACAGAATCTGCTGGATCATTTAGGATGCAATTTCTGGAAAGGAAAGTGGGACAAATTCAAGCTTTGGTGAGAGGGGCTCTGTTGAGTCTTGGATAAGAGGCTGAACCTCTCTGAGCCTCTATTTGTCTACCTGCAAAGTGGGGGCATTCACTGCTCCCACCTCACAGGGTTGTGAGAACACAGTCCTTGTGGATACTCAATGATTTTAATTCACTCTTTCACCAGGCACATATTTATTGCCTATGATGAGAGAAGGGGGAAGTCCCACTTGTCAAGGCCCCTTCACCCTGGACTATGCCCGGCACTTGGTCAACAGCCTAGGACATTCATTTCATAAACATAAGGCAGCTGGGAGGTAGGTTCTGCTGTTAGCCCTGTTTGATACAAGAAGAAATACAGACTTCGGCAGCAGGTGTGACAGGAAGGAGGCCAGAGCCTAGGAAGGTTGCTGCAGCAGTGACTCCTCAGACCCACAGTCTGGGCTGGGATGGAGGCCACGGAACTGGACTTTCTGGCCAATGCAGCCAAAGTAATCCAGACTCTGCTGGCACAGCCTGGATCCTGACAGACAGGCGAGCAGGTGGAAGACACAATCCCAGGCTCCCGGCTCAGATCTTCTCCACATAGTTTCCAGGGAAAAGACCCTCCTGGCCATGTAGGCGGCCCTTCCACCAACCTGAAGAATCTGTGTGAGAGAAGAAAGCTTGGGGTGATGCCCAGCTACCCTGGAGAGAACCCCCATGCCAGTTCTGTGTCTTACTTATCTCTGCATCCTTGATTTGACACAAGGGAGAGTTGTTAATAATGGAAAGAAAGGAGGGAGGGGGGAATGTCTTTCCTAACCACTGGCTCACATAGTCATTTTCTTTCTTTCTTCCCTTTTTCTTTCTTGTGGTGATGGGGATGGAACCCAGGGCCTTGCTCATGGTAGGCAAGCGCTCTACCACTGAGCCATACCCCCATCCCTGTCATTTTTTATAACATTTCTTGTGCTCATCCCTTATCCATCGCCTTCAACAGGCTCCTTCCTCCAACCCCCAGAGTGAACCCAGGAATGAACAGGTCTCTGAGACCCCAGGAGGCTCCCACATCTGTCTGTGGAGTGTGTCCTAAGTCCTAGGCTCTGCTGGAGGCAGCCCAGGGAATTAAGGTAGGAGGGGCTTTGGCCCTCCAGACACAGCTTCTTTCCCCTTTAAAGTAGGTTCTGCTACTAGAAATAGGTGACAAGTAAAAAAAATGAGGGTCAGGGACCAGGTGTGATGCAGTGAGGCCAGAGCCTCGAGGTGGCTTAGGAACTGACCTTCACAGCCAGTGCTCTCCAGCCCGTGCAGCCATGCCACTGGCATGGAAGGTGTTGCTCAGAGCTGTAAGCTAGTGGCTTCTGTTTTCACATGGATGGGAAGGATGTGCAACAATGGGGGGGCAGCCTGGCGGTGTCAGGGTTCTGACCATGCCATACCCCAACCTCTGCCCTGGTGCACACACCTTCCACGAGGATCTCGATGACCTCATTCACATTGAAGCTCAACTCATCGACATCTTGGCCTATGTACTGGTATAGTGCCCGGCACCTTGGGCCATGTACACGTGGTTGGGGCTTGGGTCGGCCCACACCAGGCACAGGTCTCTGCCCCACGCTGCGCTTCCTCTGCATGCTGGGGAGACAAGGGGGTGCTCATCACAGCACCAGACACTCCCTTACCTCTGCCCACCTCCTGGGGCTGCCCTCCCACCCCACCTACCCTGCCACACCCTGGTCAGGCACATTGAGGAATTCTGTGTTGTGCTCTGAGGGTGGCCGTGCCCGGGGAGGTCTGCTGGACCCCAGGGTTGAGGATGGAGGACCCCGGGGAGGCCGCTGGGAACCCCCTCCAGATGTGATTTCCAGGGGCAGGGGCCCCCCTCTGGCAGAGGGAGGCACACCATTTCGGTCCAGGCCTGTGATGGAAGCAAAGATCAGGGTGTCTGTCAGGGAGGAATTATCTGTATTTCAGGAGGGAGGAGGCAGCCACACTCAGCCCAGTATGGGAGGAACCCTGGAGACATGAAAGTCTAAAGGGAGGCTTTGCAGAAGAACATCCGGCCCCCACAGGAGGGCTTTTGTGGGTGGGTCTTGGAGAATAAATCAGAGCTCATCAAGTGTGGGGATTTGGGAGACAAGGCAGAGTAAATAGCCCAAGTGAAGGCCTGGAGGTAAGAATAAATTTGGTGAGTTGGCAAAATAAAATGTAGTTTGCATAAGAAAATGTATTTTGCATGGCAGGGGCATAGGATGGGCGAAGAGGTCACTCACTGGCTAGCTGGGATGGGATCTTTTTTAATACATACATTTTTAGTTACAGGTGGACACAATACCTTTAATTTTATTTATGTGGTGCTGAGGCTCAAGCACAGGGCCTCACACTTGCCAGAAGAGGACTCTAGCACTGAGCCCCAGCCCCAGCCCTAGCCCTGGAATGGGATCTTGAAGGGCTTTGAATATCAAACTAAATTTAGCCTGTATTCTGTGGGAGATGGGGAGCTTGGAAAGTTCTGGACAGAACATAGTGAGCTACAGTGCTTGTTGAACTCCATTGACTGTAGGTCAGGCTTAGGCCCTGGAGCCTGCGAGAGGCAAATGAAGACACTAAGTGAGGGGTATCTTCTCACCTCTGGGGGGGCCAGGGGCCGCCCGGGTAGGGGCTGGGGCTGACTTTCGGGGTCTTCCCTGGGCCATTCCCTTCCGCGTAGGCTCTAAAAGAAGAAAGGATGCAGGTATTTGGGTGGTGGCTCAGCTGCACCTGATTGTAGGCCCCGCCCACAAGTCCCCTCCATTCTGGCTCGACTCCAGGCACCGCCCCTCAGGCCCTTTGCTCTCTCCTCAGCACTGACATCAGGACAGAAGAGAGTGAGCTACAGTGCTTGTTAGACACCATTGACTGTAGATCAGGCTTGGGCCCTGAAGCCCGCCCCAGTAATTGGCCACGCCCCCAGGGCTCCACCCCTCATTGGCCCTTTTCCTTGGGCCCTCCCACTCCCGGACACGCCCCCGCCATCTGCTAGTTGTAGGGTTGCCCCTTTGGCCACGCCCTCCCCACTTCTCTCCCACTCATTGGTCGCTTCTCTAACGCAGCGTCCTCTTCTGTCTCCTTAGGCCCACCGTGGGGCTCTTGCGCATTCCCGACCATCCCCTAGCCGTGATTGGTCTCCCTCGTTGGCTCCGCCCCCGGTTCCGCGCAGACTCACTGGAGCTCTTGGGCAGTCCGTCACCCACGCTGACCGTGAGGGTTTTGCCGCCAGCCTTGAGTACCGCTATGTCTCCAGAGCCGCGGGAAAAGGTGACGCTGCGAGTGCTGCCTCCGCCCCAGCCCTCCTTCTTCACCCGGAATTGTAGTCTGCGGGAAGAAGAGGAAGCTTGGGCCGCTAGCTGGGGTCCCTCTCCCCCCCTCTCCCGTCCGCGGGGGGAGGGGCAAGGCGCCAGGCGCTCGCTCGGGTCCTGGGTCCCTGGGACTGGAGTGTGGGTCGCTGCGCCAAGAGCAGCCCGAGGATGATGCTGGGCTAGGGGCGTACGTGTCGCTGAAGGTGAGGGGCAGGGGCCTCCGTGCCGCCTCCTCGAAGCGCTTGCACAGAAGGCTGACGAACTCGGTCTTGAAGACGCTCTCCAGGAAGCTGTCAGCCGCGTCCTCTTGGAGGATGAAGAAGTCGTCCTGTCGCGTGCTGGGGGAAGTGGGAGGAAAGGCAGGCGAGAGCGACAGGTGAGGGCGGCGGAAGAACTAACTTGTGAGATGCAACAAGGGACGGACTGTCAGGTAAGGGTCAAGTGAGGGGTTGACACAGGTGAGGGAACGGGGGAGCTGGGAAAGTTGGTAATAGAGAAGGGCTGGGTGAAGTGCAAGGACCGAAGCTGTTGAGGCATAAGGATCTTGAATGTAGGAGCAAGTGAATGTGGCAGGTAGGGCCAAAGAGAGGGCTACAGGTACAGCCGTAGGTAAGACTCTCAGGGAAACAGTGGGGCAACAAGTGTAAAAGCAGCTGAAGATCACAGGTGACCTGGCCTCACCTGAGGGAGACTCCCCGCAGGGCCTGAATCTCCAGCTTCTTCTTCAGGACCTCACGCACTTGGCCCTTCTCTGGTCCTTTCTTCACCTTCTCTCGCCCAATCACATACACACACTTAGGGGTCAGGATCAAGTCCCGCTTGATGGGCTGTGGGAATGCAGAACCAGAGGCCGGTGGTGGCTGGAGCCTGGGGCATGAGCAGCCTGGGCCCAGGCGCAGGCATGGTGAAGTGAAGGTGAAGGGGGTCCCTCCAGGTAAAGGTATATGAGTTATATCAGAAACAGAAGAAAGCTGAGTGAGGGAATATTAGCTCAAAAGGGGTGACTGGGCCAGCAAATGGGTACAAGGTAGGTGAAGCACTTGCTGGATCTTGGTACCCTGGCTCAAGGACAGCTCTTGGACCAGGTGACAGTGCTTGGGTCTTGTGACTGAGGCATTTTTTTAAATGCTGAGGATAGAACCCGGGACCTTGCATGTGCTAAGCATGTGCTCTACCACTGAGCTACATTCCCAGCCCTGAAGTGGGCTTCTGGGTGAGATGAATGTGTAATTGTGGACAGATGTGCCTGGCCAGGTAAGGGCATATCTAATGGTCAGGTGTGTCTGGGCTACATGAAAGGATATTTGATGGATGCCGTACATCTATGATGTTGGAGCGAATACCTGTTGACCGCTGTGTCTGGGCCAGGTTAGTGTATCTGTGTTGAACACATGTACACAGCACAGCCTAGGTGAATATATACCTGTGGCTGAGTGTGTCCAGGACAGGTGGCAGTGCTTCTGGTTCAAGCAGGGACAGGGTCTTGGATGTGCCCACCTGCTAGGGCCTCACCTTGAAGCGCCGGTCATACTTGGTGACTGAGTCTGCAAAGTCCACACGCTCCCTCTTGCCCAGGAACTGACGTAGCTCTGGCCGTTCCTCCAGCCCCAGGTAGTCCCCGACGAAGTTCCGATTAATGCTGTTCCTCCTCCGTTCCTTCTTGTTGAGCAGGATGTTGGAAGCTGTTAACATGGAGTCAGGGCAGAGGTCAAAGTGTGGCTCTTCTACATCCATCTGTGCCCACCCTGAGTCTCCCACCCCAAGCAGCTCACCTTCTTCCCGCATCTCCTGGTACTTCCGTACCGCCACGTGGCGCCTCCAGGCCTTCTGAATGGTGCGGGCAAAGCCGTCGAACTTCCGCTCTCGCATCTCCTCCAGGAGGAAAAGCTGGGCAAGAGGGAAGCTGGGTGGGTCCTACCCTCTCCGCAGGCTGCAGTCCCTGTTTTCCCTGGGTCCACCCCACCCACATGCTTTTGTGTCCACATGCACACACACCTGCCCATGCCCATGCCCTATGGTCAAGGTTTTTCCTTCCTCCAGATGACTTGACCTAGGGGACCCTCCCAGTATTTTTTTTTTTTTTCTGTATTAAACTATAGGTGTGGGTTTGTCTCACTGGCTTCGGATCCCGGCCACTTGCTGTGAGGTCTCACCAGATATGGTGTAACATCACAGTTCCTAACATTGCTAATTAAGAGCATGCACAACAAGTGCACCACAATTTCAGAGATGGTAGAAATAGAAGCCAGTGTGCATCTTAGAAAACCACTGTAGCCAGGTATGGTGGCACATGCCTGTAATCCCAGCTAGTTGGGAGGCTGAGGCAAGAGGATCACAAGTTTAGGCCAATCTCAGCAACTTAGTGAGACTCTATCTCACAATAACAAAATACAAAAAAGGGCTAGGTATGTAACTCAGTGATAAACCACCCCTCATTTCAATCCTCAGTTAAAAATAAAAAAGATACATTAAAGAAAATATGAAAATCTGAGTTGCAGGATTCTGATGTGATGGCAACCATGTGATTGTGCAGTGTACAACCCAAACAACTATATTCGGCAGCCCTGGAAAGAAAATTTTTGCAGAAAGCATAGAAAAGGCTTGAGTTGCAAGAGTTTAGGCCCAGAGAGGACTTAAAAAATAAACTGTAATAGGGTAAGTCAGAATACAAATACTGTGAGAAATGACTGTTCATTTGGAATAATGATAGAGGCTCACATCAAGGAGAGGAATTGACTGGATATTAAAATACTACAACTAGGTGTGGTGGCACGGGCCTGTAGTTCTAGCTGCTTGGGAGGCTGAGGCAGGAGGATTGTTGAGTTTGAGGCTATCCAGGGCAACATAGTTAGATCCCATCTTAAAATAAAAAAATAAAAAAATAAAAATGCTGATTGTAGAAAAATATAAAATTCAAATCAAACTTTAGTTATAAAAGGGATAGCCTTGTCAATAGGTGAAGATGGAAAACATTTTTTTTTTAAAGAGAGAGAGAGAGGAGAGTGAGAGAGGAGAGAGAGAGAGAGAGAGAAATTTTAATATTTATTTTTTAGTTCTCGGCGGACACAACATCTTTGTTGGTATGTGGTGCTGGGGATCGAACCCGGGCCGCACGCATGCCAGACGAGCACGCTACCGCCTGAGCCACATCCCCAGCCCGGAAAACATTTAAAAAAAAAAATATTTTGTTTTAGTTGTAGCTGGACACAATACCTTTATTTTATTTTTATGTGGCGCTGAGGATCGAACCCAGCGTCCTGCACGTGCTAGGCGAGCACTCTACCCCTGTGTCACAACCACAGCCCATGGTGGGAAACATTATTAAGAATAAAATTGGGTTTTTATATTAAAAAACAATTAGCACTTCACCCAGAGAGAATTCTCAAATACACAAATTAGAAGGGTTCACTGGGGCTGGGGCTTGTGCTCAGTGGCAGAGCAGTTGCCAAGCATGTGTGAGGCACTGGGTTCGATCCCTGGCACCACATAAAAATAAAAACAAATAAACAGGGGCTGGGGATGTGGCTCAAGCGGTAGCGCGCTCGCCTAGCATGCGTGCGGCCCGGGTTCGATCCTCAGCAGCACCACAT